CCAACTGAAATAGAAAGGATAATATCAGGATACTATGAAGAACTGTACTCCTACAAATTTGAAAATCTGGAAGAAATGGACAGATTTCTAGAAACACATCACTTACCTAAGCTAACAGACTGATGTGGAAAATTTGAACAGATTCATAACAAAAGAAGAAATGGAACAGGTCATCAAAAAATTACCAGAAACAAAAAAGTCTTAGCTCAGAGAGTTTCAATGGAGAATTCTACCAAACATTCAGAGAAGAACTGACACCAATACTGCTAAAATTATTCCAAAACATAGAAAAGGATGGAATCCTCCCTAAGTCATTTTATGAAGCAAGCATAACTTACATACCAAAACCAGTCAAAGACATTACTCAAAAGGAAAACTACAGACCAATATCCCTCATGAATATAGATGCAAAAATCTTTAGCAAAATCCTAACCAATAGACTCCAACATATCAAGAAAATCATTCATTATGACCAACTGGGGCTCACATCACATATGCAAGGATGGTTCAACATTAGAAAAACAATCAACGTTATACACCACATAAATAAAACAAAGGAGAAGAACCACATTCTCATATCAATTGATGCAGAAAAGATATTTGATAAAATCCAACACCCATTCCTCATCAAAACTCTCAGCAAAATAGGAATAGAAGGGACATTCCTCAACATAATAAAGGGCATCTATGGAAAACCAACAACCAACACTATACTCAGTGGAGAGAGACTGAAACCATTCCTCTTGCGCACAGGAACTAGACAATGATGCTCCCTATACCCACTTCTATTCAACATTGTACTGGAAGTCCTAGCCAGGGCCATAAGGCAAGAAAGGGAAATAAAAGGCATCCAAATTTGTAAGGAAGAAGTCAAACTATTCCTCTTTGCTGATGATATGATCCTGTACCTAGAAAACCCAAGAACCCAAGAGACTCAGTCAAAAATCTACTGGAACTAATTGAGAGATTTAGCATCGTGGCAGGATACAAGATCAGCATCCAAAAATCAGTTAGATTCCTCTACACCAGCAAAGAGATTGCTGAAAAAGAAATAAGGAAATCAATACCATTTACAATAGGTACCAAACAAATGAAATACTTGGGAATAAATCTTACCAGGGACACAAAAGACCTTACAAAGAAAACTATAAAAAAACTATTTCAGGAAACCATAAGAGATCTACGTAAATGGAAGGACATCCCATGCTCGTGGATAGGAAGATTGAACATTGTAAAAATGTCAGTTCTATCCAAAGCAGTCTGTCACATTCAAAGCAATCTCATTCCACATACCATCAACATTTTTTAAGGCTCTGGAAAAACCAATCACTAACTTTATATGGAAAGGAAAGAGACCTCAGTTAAGCAAAGCACTATTGAAAAAGAGGAACAAACTAGGAGGTCTCACACAGCCAGATTTCAAAACCTACTATACAGTCACAGTAGTCAAAACTGCCTGGTATTGATATAAGGACAGACTCATAGAGCAATGGAATAGAATTGAGAACCCAAAAATAGATCCATTGATGTATGGCCAGCTGATCTTTGATCAAGGGCTGAAATCCATTACGTGGGGAAGAGAATGTTTGTTTAATAAATCGTGCTGGCAAAACAAGATCTGTACCTCACACCATACACAAAAAGTAACTCCAGATGAATTAAAAACTTAAATGTGAAACATAAAACTATAGTGTTCCTCAAGGAAAAACAGGGGCAAATTTAGGGGCCCTGATATATGGCATAAATAGACTATCAAGCATAACCCAAAATGCACAAACAGCAGAAGAGAAACTAGATGAATGGGACCTTTAACAATTAAATTTTT